TGAAACCAAGACTGGAGGCAGTCAATCTGTCATCCTAAGAAAAAATTGACCTGCCAAAAAATTATGTGAAAATATAAACTTACAACCTCAACCGAGACTAGATTATCCGATATAGGCAACGGTCTTTGCGGAACGCTTAGTAGAACTTCCCACTCAGTAGCAGATGGAGCCTGCAACAACAATTATTTGTGTGAACCGAATGCAAAATAAAATTTTAAGCAAAAGTCAATCCAATATTACAACGATCTAAAGACTTATAACTTACTTCCAATAACAGTTCGTACTGTCTCCGGTCATAATTACTAACACCACAAACACTACGTGCTCTCCCCTTACAGTCAAGAATTGGAAGAATTCCGTATGGAGGCAACGACGAGCAACGTTCCAGTTCTTGATGCACACTGTCTTCGTCGCAGTCAGTACCACACAGTACTGAAGACGTCAAAATATCCTCCCGAACTACCCCCGTTTTCCCTTCTGAAGTGTTATCTCCTACCAAAACGTTCTTTTCTAACCCCTGAACGACTGGCTTCGCTATTATTAACTGCGAAGAAATAAATTCACCTTCTTCAGCAGGTAACAGCTTTAATTCTTTTGACTCTCCACAGACTTTTCGACCACAGGCGTTAAAACTGCCAGAGCACTTTTCAGAAACTGATTTAGTCCGACATCCTGAAGCTCTAAAGAACAAACGGTCTTTAACAACGTCTGTTCCAAAACTAGGTCGAACTTTTCTCAACAAAAACCTTTTTTCACTGGCACTCCCAATATCAATACTCAAAAAATTCGGACACTGCACGCTCTCCACGTCATCGGAGCAAGATGCATTGTTCGCAAACGTGAAATTACTCGCTTTCAAATCCTTTTCAGATTGTATGGCTGTTAAAGCTTGGTTTGAAACACGGGCAGCTGATTCACCATTAATCACAACCTCGCATACCTAAAAACTAGAAGTAAAACTCCAGAACAAAATCCTCAAAAACAAACTGTGCCACCATGCTTAATGATAACATATGCAAAAGAAAAAAGACCAGACACCCAAACTGAATCAAACTGAAGCTTGCTCGAAGTTCTTTGTAGAAGCAGTCAATTCTCCACGACCGTACCACGAATTAGAGGCATTAAGTAAGCCCCTCAATTCAATGAATCAATGCACCCACTGGGAACAAAAAACCCAAATGACACAAGGAAAAAACTGTCCAGTCATATCTCTGCTAACATGCTTCCGTTCAACAAATTTCTAAAATTATGAATAAACTCTGGCTAGTTACTAAACCACTAACGAATAGAACGCCCCCTCAACCGACAAAACGAATGACACTAATAAGGCAGCGAAATCCACACTCCGCGCTTACTTCCCCTTCTCAAACATTTAATAAGTGATAAAGCACTTTACCCTCATGGATAATTAGCCAAGAATCATCACACAAGTAAAGAAGAGCGATGATTACATTAAACCACAAAGCACTAGAAATTGAAACAGAATTAGTGAAGTACAAACAGACACTTATCACCCTACTCGAAATTACGCTTCATACAGTGTGACTAGAATCCATTGATATAAAAATTTAAAGCAAATTACGTACGAGAATTATTTGTACAGCCCTTATCAATATCACAACTTCTTGTAGTAAAGAAAATGAAATTTTGCATCAACAAAATTTGAGTGACATTCCGCAAAATTAAAACCAGTATTTGAAGAATGAAACTACGTCTGAGCTAATGAAAAACTAACATAATTCTAAAATCACAAAGCTAAACAAAAGTTTCAACAAATAGAAAACAGAAAGTAATCAATTAAAAAAATTCAACAACATAAATTTTGAACTGTCAAGTCTCTTCACGAAACCGGTCCAACGAGATAATTCGACATTTGAGATCAAAAAGAAAAAATCATGTATGAACAAGTGACCAAAGTTTATTTTTTTTTTTTACAATTATAATGATCAATCTGCACTGAAAAAAAGAAAGCATGCGCGCATGATTGCAAATTTACCTTATGGTAAAAATACTTGACTGGCTTATATTCAAAAAAGAAAGATAAAAACTTACAGTATAATTCAATACTTTTTTCACTCCTATAAAGAAAAATTCCAAAGAAAACCTTATACTGTTTCGCTTTTAACCCGCTTCAAAACAAAACTAGAAGACGCGCTCACTTCCTGATCTAAATTTGCATTAGATAATTTCAACTTTTTACGATTACTCGACCTAGAATCACTTTGTCGAATAAGCCCATAATTACGATTCCGAGCAGGCCCTGATTTACTATTTTGATTTCGTACCTTAGAGTTAGGGGAAGGCTCTGAACGGCTACTCCTGTTCTCTTCCCGGCGTTGGCGCTGCGGCTTTCCCTGCGCAGTAGTTTTGGAAAGAACTGAAGATTTGAACTAAGACATATCATCATTTTAAAACTGTTTACGGTCGCAAAGGAGATAAAAATCTACGAAATTAATGAAGAATAATAGCAGATAACGATACCCTAATAACTTCTGAAAGTTTAGAAGAAGCGACACAAAAACTTCAAAAAACTACCAGCAGAACCAGTTGATGCAGAATGATCTTCCCTCAATTCCAAATCCTGGACGCCAACAAAAAGAGCCGTTTTCGCACTTCTTTTTGACACAACAGGGGCCTGATCTGTCGCCTTACAACTAGATTTTGCAAAATCGGACGTCTATAATGAAACTCAATTCACTTGAAACTCAATAAAAAGCGAAGAAGTCAAACGTAATTAATGTATAATGTTTCCCTAATAAACACCAACACAAAAAAAAACTTTTTTTAAATTCAGCTAAAATTGGAAAACTTCCAATTCGTCATAAGAGAAGATAGAACCCCATTGCGTAAGTTCTTTAATTCAATATCACTGCACTACAAAGACGTATCTTTTTTCAAAACATGTGAATTGCGCAAAACTTATTATATAAATGGTACTTTGCTTATTTGACTTAGAAAATATATACGCGGGAAATGATTATCAGTTCTAACTATTGTACTAACTTCTGCATTTCTAGTTGAGGATTTCGTGTTTTCTGAATTTTCCAGACTTTTCGGCGGCTTTCTTCCAGGCGGGTCGACCGGTAAACCCGTGTGTGTTTGCTCGCAATGCACACGCAAGGGACCGTGTGTAGCGAATGTTCTCGTACACTAAGATATCTGCTTTAAAATTTTCACAAAAATAAAAAGGAAGTTGAAAACTGAGTAACTTGGTCCTTTGAAAATTACTAAAGTTAAGAGTTAAGCAAAGTGTAAGATAACAAGGTTGCTCACGTAGTGACAATAGTAAATTTTTTTATGAAAATATTTCTCGTGGACTGTCACGTATCTAGTTTCGGTGAATCGAAAGTTACATGAGTGACACTTCGCCTTATATTTTGACAAAATTTCTACATTATCCTGAGCCCTTCCATCGACATCGTCGTAAGAGTTTTGCTTTAATTCTTCTAATTCCTAGAATTTGCTTCATATGATAAAACAGATTACGAGCATGATCCGAAAACTGAAAAACGCCCCACCTTTTGCTTTTTCCTTTCCTTTGCCCTTTCGCTTCGTGATACGCGTTTCAGTTTCTCTTCAACCTTCTTTGGTTCCTCTTAAACAAATGACCATTTATTCTTAATCGAAATATGCTAGTGCCAACGATTATAAAAAACTTAAAAGAATTCTTAGGAAGATTTAACAAACCACATTCGTCTGAAAAATTGCTTCCTCGTTGACGTTTATCATTTTGTATCTTTTCCAGCTCAGCAGCTTCAAATTTTGCTTGCTCGATAGCTAGGACCTTTTCTTTTATACTCTGCAACCCCTGAGATTCTACTTCCTCCATGCACGCCTTATTTTTAACATTAGGTTCTTTAAAACGTCTTCCAAACGTCCTGTCAACGCCCCTGTCATCAAACCACTGGTCCCACTGCCGTAACCTTTCAGACTACAATTTCTCTAGGATAACTAAACCTCTATTTAAAATCTTCAAACCGTGGCAAGCAGCCAGGTTAATGTGACAGTAAAAGATATATTTAAGAATTTTTAAAACCTCTTCCTTTTATTCGACAGAAAAAAGAAAAAAAATAAAAATACGGAAAGAAATCAAACAATTATCTTTTTTGGGGGGAAAGGAGCAGATGCTGTTGTCGGCTAGTAAGAAAACCTAGTACTACAGAAAGCGAACGGAAAGAATGACTACTGAAGGAAAATATGCTTCTCCTTGTCCCAAAAAAATGTAATACATTTTACTTCCAAGTTTTTAGCCATTATCATAATTTTACTTATGACCACCATAATTCAACACCTTATAAAATTCCTCTAAAAGGAAAGACGTTTTCAAAACATACTTAGGAAGCATACACCAAATCACAAGACCCTTAATAAAACAAAAACAAAATAAAGCGTATTGATAAGCGGTAAAAAAAAATACTTAAGAGTAGTCACCAGCACTTTGAAAATGTAGCACTTTTATTTTCATTTGCATGCGGTAAATGGAAAAGTAGTAAGTTAAAAATGAGAAAAAGCTGCAGCAAATAACGCATAACATACTATATCAAAGAACATAATAACTTTTATTGTACAAAAAAGAGTTTAAATAGAGTTAGATCCCACGGTCCCATCAATTGCGCAGACGCACCTAGGGAGAAATTTAAAAAACGGATTTTAAAAAGCCTTTTCTAACTAGAAATTGTAAAAGTACATTTTATCTTCTACAAAACAAATATTTTTTGAACACAGATTTGTACTTTTGGTTTGAATATAAAAGAATTACCAAACTAAAACGCAAAGCAGCACTTCGCTGAGTTTCTGTATTGCACTCTTTTGGTATCAAAGGCACACATCTCTCATAAGATTCGCGATATATACTCACGAACTGATTAAGGAGTTCCGTCAGCTGATCATCCTAAGCTATTGAAAAACATTATTTTTTCACATAGTAAAACCAAAAGTTGCTCTATTAACAACAAATTCTATAGTTCAAAAAATACTCGCATCCTAAAGCACCGACATGAATGATAATATGAGCGAGTGGTAATCACTAACCCAAACACTTTAAGACTAAAAAAA